CCACCTCCCATCTCCTCGCGGCCTTTCCCTACACGAAGAACAAGGACAAGCTCAGGGCGAGAGCTCAGCACACAAGTCCCAGACTGGGGAGACCACTAAACTAGACACTCAGCTCTGAACTTTAATTTACCCTGAGAAAAGCAAGCCCTGCAGCCCGACAGACAAGATTCATAGCTGAGGATGCTCTGTTAGCACTGACCCAGCCACAGGGAAGAAGTGTGACTTGTAATGAAGCCCTCTAACGGGTATTTTCTGCTTGCACTCAAGGGATAAAAAGGTACACAAGACTGCAGCAGTGTTTAGTGACAGACAAGAAAGCAAAGGATTCCTTTGGGTCTGCCTGCCCTGCACAAGCTCCCTGATGGTGAATCAGGCTGGGCAGGTGGGAACAAGGAAGGCAGCACCTGTGCTCCCACTGCATTTCTGCTGGTCATGCTCCACACACTGCTGAGCAGGGCTCTGAGGACACGTGTGTCCCACAGCCCCTGTCCTTAAGCTCTTCTTGCTCTCAGCTTCCTCCACAGCTGTGGCAGCAGGAGCTGCAAGCCCACTGAGCTGGACAGCAAGAAGCCCTTTGAGATTCTCTTCCATCTGTTGTGTTCAAGCATCTTGCAGAGGTCTGGCTGCCAGGTAAAGCCCCAGGGTCCTGAGAACTCTGGCCTCAGCCACAAGAGAACAGGAGCCAAGGAGACTACAAGTTGCAGTCTGCAGTCAACACCTCCACAATCCCAAATTAGTTCAGCTCTCACATCCTGCTCATGGGGAGGACATGTGCTGCAAGTGAACACCTCAGCCTGCCTCAGAGGGGCTGAGCTAACAAATGGAAGCTGCAATATTTCAATCAATAGGGGAGGGAGAAAAAAGCAGTCAGGGAAGACAGAGACATTATTGATGCTTCTATTACTGTCTGAAATTGGTCACTGTGGAGAAAAACAAGTGGCCACAGAATGGACCTGGCCTGACCTTTCGCTCCCCAGCAGGCGGCAGATTGGTCATTCCAGTCACTACCAGTGAAAAATGAGGCTGAAACCTTCTTCTTGTAGTGGCTGAGGGACCAGAGCTCAATGCCCATAGCAAGAGAGAATTCACAGGTTAGGGGTGAAGCTGCAGCCCTCACTGCAAGAGATTCCCACACAGCATACTGGAATGGGGGATTGATTCACTGCTTAAAGTGAGCAGTGTGCATTTAAATACAAAAGGACAGAGCAGGCAGGTGCCTCAAAAAAAAGTAGAGGAATATCAAAAATACAGACAGATGTGCAAGGAGCCAAGGAAATTTCAAAGCAGAAGTGAAGGGCAGAGTAGGACCAAGCACAAAAGGGCAATCTGAGTTACGCAGTGCTAAGGCAGACGCAGTAAACCGCAGCAATTCAGACCTAGTCCTCAAATTGAGAAGGAAGGACAGCTTTAAGCTTAACGCACAGTGCAGACAGTCTGGAGTATCAGCTCCTTTATGAACTTCTCCCATACCTTGGATAAAGTCACTTTGACTTTGTGCTGCAGCTCCCAATAGCTATAAAAACGCTTTTCTTGTTTACTCAGACGACACAGTCTCTGAGGCTTACATCTAGGTGTAGTTCTTGATGCTTTCTTAAAACAAGTCATAAATAAAAGACTTAGGATTTTCCAGCAATGTAGCAAAACTTGCATGCTGAGGGCCAGGTGAGATTGGTCAGACACGTGCAGGATTCAGCTTGGTGTGAAGGAGAGTGGAGGACAGCTACATGGAATACAACCTAGGACAGAGCAGGAATAGCTCCGCCAGTGGTCCAAGGAGAGGGGTAAGAGTTGTGTGTCCAAAGGGATGAGCATAGGACAGTGTGGCAGAGAAAGATAAGTAAATAGAAGGCACTACCCTACTAGTGGGCAATAGCTCATGACACAGCACACCACCCTTCTCATTAAAAGAAAGACCAGAAGTAGGAGCAATTAGAATCTTCCTCCCCCTTCCCCAGGTGTTTCGGTGTGAGGGTTTTGTTCTCCTTCTTTCACTTCTCCCTGAACATTCATCCACCTGAATGAGCAATGAGCACACAGACCCTAACATCAGCCTGTCCTAATTGGCTCAGCTCCCAAGACAAGCTTCAAGAAATAGCACTTACCTTCATACTACCACTCTAACCAACTTGGGTGGTGAGCTCTAATGAAGAACAGACATCAGAGAAGTGCTTTAGAAGAACAGGTTGCAAATGCTTGTAATAAATCTGTTTGGATGCACTTCAGGGAATGCAAATCACTTAAATTATTAATTAAAGCACTGAGCTGTTAGGACTCAGTTTGGGAACTGTTGCAGAGAAAGCCATTGCTGCCCAAATTGAACAGGGTCAGTAAGAAAGGAAACAATGCCATCTTAAGTACAAGCTGCTCTACCTGTAGCTTGTAACCATGAGCTGCAGCTGTATATCTTTACTTGAGAAATGGTAGGTTTGAAATGGTTTAGGGGTGCAAGACAGGAGGAGATAAGGGTTGGACAGCAACTGTGGAGAAAAGAGGGAAGACAATAAAAGCACTTGGCTGTGGAGCAAACAAGGACTAGAAGGTATCTCTGATAAAATGGTGATGCGATAGCTTCTCCATTTAGAATCCAGCCATGATATAGGTAGAAAGCAACTTGGGAGAAAAGTGGTTATCCCCTCTGTTTTCCTAGAGATGGAGTAAACTCGAGGAAATGTTAAAAATCAATTGACTTCTCCAAGCAAAACGTACAGAGCTGGATTTGGGTCCACTCCTCCACCCAAGCCAAGGTTGCCATGTACAGCTCCATCTGAAATGCAGTTGGATTCCTTCACCTGCCTGCGCCTGTTTCCCCTGAAAGACTATCTATAATCCAGCTCTTCGGATATTTAGACATATTCTTCTAATTACCAGCCTCAATTTATTAATGGTCTGTTTATACCCATTTGTTCTTGTTTCAGCATTGTCCTTTAGATTTAATAGCTCTTTTTCTTCCCTGCTGTTATGCCCCAATCTACTTACGTGCAACAATCACCTCCTCTTTTTTCAGCCTTCAGTTTTGCTCGGCTAAAAAAAGCTAAGCTCCTTAGTCGGTCCTTGTAAGAAAGGATCTTCATTCCCAAACCATGATTTAGTATTCTATTGTTTGAGAAATGCCTGTCAGAAGTTCATTATTTCCTTCGCCTTTTTCCTTGGCTAGAATTCAGAATTTTGAGGGGAAAAATAAGCGCAGTGCTTTTTCCGTCTATCACTACCACCGGTGGCAGAAAAACCAACTCAAGTTGCTACAAAGAACAGCACAGGCAAACTGTGCAAGCAATTCAGTCATCAGGGGAGTTTAATTCTACCAGCCCACCTGAAACCTTTTTGATTTGCTTTTCAAACACATTTTAAAGAGGAGCAAATTCTGCCTGTGACAAAAAGCATGCGGGTATTATTTGCAAAAAAAAATACTATTTATTCATCAAAGTCAATAGGAGAGTTTCTGGTTTATATGGATCGGGTCCTGTTCAGTTACAGACAACGCAGCACAGAGAATATTGAGGCACAGATGAAAGCTAGACTTCGTTGATATGCTATCTTGCTTCTCTCTGTACTTAAGGGCTTTAGAAATTGATTAACTGAAACCCTTATCAGGAAGGTAACTATTATAATACTCATTTTACTGACAAGGAAAATAGAGCACAAAAAAAGCTTAGCGACAGACACAAGGTTACAGAGTGAATTAGTGGCAGGAATACTGATTCCATCTTCATCTCCCTGGTCTGGCCTATACATACAGTGCCTTAATCAGGATCTTCCCCCAAGTCTGCTAAGTTCACATCTTAAATATATTTTCCCTGCCTTCCAACATTTTCTAGTCTGGCTGGAAGCAATGAAAAAAACACTGCCTGTAGACAAAAAGTTGGCCTCAGCGATATTTTAAATATGACAAGGAGGAAAAAAAAGAATCTCACTGAAAGAGCATATCCTCATAAGATTTTCAGCCTGAATTTGCAGCTTCAGAGAATTGAGCTAAGCCACCAAATGGCTGGGTGCTTTATACGAAGCAAACCTCTTAAGGCTTTGCATTTATGCATTATTAGTAGTTTCATTTTATATCTAAGTTACTTATATGGCTCCTAATTACCGCTGTATCTTAATACCTCATCTTAATGTATTTATCCCTACTGCAGCCCAGTGGAGCAAGACTGTCTTGAGACTCCTGCTCCACGGACAATTTTTTATGCTACAGAAAACTCCAGAAAATGCATCCTCGCAGAGATCATGAGCTCAGCCTTCCTCTGCTTCCCATCCTAAAAGCGGACTTCAGGGAGGCAGTACCAGGTAGAGCCTGAGCTTGGTCTTCTGGGCTCTGCGGCCACATCCAGGCTCTCTGAGGTCACTAAGAAATCTGTGGCTGAGAGAATTTCACCACAGCCCCACGATTGCTCCCCTGGTTTGGTAATGCTGACAAGTTCTGGCTAAAATTAGAATGAAACACGTGCGAGAGATGAAAACAGCACCAGGACTTCATTTCAGGGCCAAAACACAGACTTAAAACAACAGTTGTAAGACCCATGTTTTTTTTTTTCCATCAGCCTGAGAAAGGCTTCTCTGTCCTCCATCTCCTAACACCAGCTTAATGACTGCAATGGATGTATGAGAAATTGGTGTTAAGAACTGACTGCTCATACAAGCAGGCCATTTCATTGCAAGGTTACGGATTGCACCCTTGTGCCAAGAAGTGTCCTCCAGGGCTTCTGGATATCTGAAATGTTGCTAAAAACTTCATCTAGCCCTTCTGCCCAAGGGCAAATTCTACCTGTAATTATTAGGACCAGCAATGCTCACCTAGTCCAGGAGTCTGACTACTTGAACATTTATCTCCATAAGCTTTACACTTTAATAAATAATTTACCCCCAAAACGCACTTAAATTAGATCTATAATTCCAGCATGAGGCTCTGGTGGTGTGAAGAGACCTCCTGACTTCACTCCGATCATTTATAATGCCACCATAAGCCATCAATGGAATTGCAGCATTATTATTTATAGCACTGCTTATATTGTTCCTTATGTCATTTGTTATACTCAATTGGAATGGCCCCAGCTAGTCTGTATGAAAAGATGCTGCACAGTTACCAGCTCAGGTTATCTCCTAGCAATGAAATGTTACCATCTTAAAGGAGCTGCAGTATTAGCAGCATGAGGATGATACGAATCTCCTGGATCTGCTGTCCTCATTTCTCAGAGTCCTTCTGTTCCATTTGGGCAGTATTAAGGGGGATGACATCTTCTGGTGGCTGCTTCCACTTTCAGCTTGAAGAGGAGAGAAATGCAGCCCTGACACAGCACGAAGCTGTACCAGTACAGGTTGGTGACATGAAGTGGCCTCCATTCATTGCAGGGGAATCAGACCACATCCAACCCAACCTTTAGAGGCCCCTTCCAACCCAAACAATTCTATCACTCTATGCACAGCTCACATATCTGTGCACCTTTCAGAACAGAACCAGACTTCTGTAAAACAAATCATGCCCTCATTACTGTATAGAAGCAGGTTACAATTACTAAATCTGGGATTAAAAAAAAAAAGTCTCAGATTTAAGATCACCCAGTATCCCCAATGGTTTTTCTTTCCAGATGCATTATGATAATTTTAAATGACATCACCTCACGCTATTTTTATCATAGGTGATTTTCTCATTACAATGCATAGAACATGAGAGTGATCTCTGTGGTGGCAGTGGGTGTGCAACTCTGCTTCACTTTATCTGAAACTACTCATGCAAAATCTAACCTGCAGCAGACTTTCAGAAGGACAACACAGGCCCAGATCATTAAAAGCAGTTTTGCAATGGGAAATGCTACAAGCATAACCCATAACAAGCTGTTGCATAGTCAGTCTCCCGCCTTGCCCTTGCTCCTACTTCTACAGGGTAGGACAAACTATCCAAACTGCTTACAAAAGGCTTCCTCTTTTGTTGTAACAGGAGAAACAAGCCTGGAAGAACGGTGCTACCCAGAGAAGGATCAGTGCCTGGTAAGTGACACTGACAGCCTCAGCTGTCCCACTGGCTGCCAAGCTAGGGATGAGATGCTGATAGCATGGACTGTGGGTCCCACCAGTTTTAACAGAGCAAAAACCTTTCTGGGCTAGTGGTGCACCACCAGAAATGACTGAGCCATCAGCTGTGCCAGATACAGGTCAGTACAAGTCAGACCGAGCTCAGGGCTGCTTTTTGAGCAGGAAAATTAGGAAGGGACAAAAAGGGGCTCTGCTTTTGCCATTACAGAGACACAACGCCCGAGTAGCTGAGGAAACTGGGCCAAAGAGAACTTTGAATAGTGCATTCTCCTTGGGTTGGGGTTTTATTTCCCCCTCCCCCCACCCCCCACTAAGTTGTCTTGCTGAATACTGTAAATTTGGTGGACTGTGCAGGTGGCCATCTGGGATTTATATGTAAAGATACATGTCATTAAAGAGTTATTCATCTCGGTCCTAAAATTAGCTGTGTCATACTTCTGATGTCCTCTGCTCTGTCAGCAGCAAGTAGTTACATAAAGAAGTTTCTGAAACTGAAGAAAAATTTAGAATAGTAAAAAAATAGCCCTCTTCAGTCCCCTCTATAACAAAGGGTTTGTTTGGGGCACTTTGCTTCCTGTCATTGTTATTTGCTGTGTCTGGTTTGCAGGGTGGCAGACAGAGACAAATGTGCAAATTCCACTAGCTGCCATTGAAGTCTGTGAAATCGGGCAATTGGTTATGCAGACATCCCTTAGAAGTATTTGTAGCACTTTTGGATCCTGGTTGAGGACTGAAAATGGGGATGGAAGAAAAAAAAAATCCCTATAGGTACCAGAGCTTTGAAAAAAAAGGGGGGAAAAAAGAGACATTGAATGTGGGACATGGAAACATGAAAATTTCAGCTCTTGACAGACTGTAAGCAAGTCCTTACACTTACTCTTCTTCTCACAATTCAGAAACACAAGCACTTTTCCAGGTGTGGTCACACAACACCCCTCAGCACATGCACCATCTGAAACAGGGCCACGATGCTGCTAAGGAGCAGTCAGCCCCCTACAACAGGCATCCACCCCCTGTAGCCCTACGTTCTTCCACCCTGACTACCCCTAATTAAACAAACTGCTAGGGAAGTTTCACATCATTCACCTCACAGTTTCTACATAGAACTGTAAGAAATAAAATAACGTTTCCACACATTGTTGTTTCCTTAAAGCTGAGAAGGCCTGTTCCATTTTATGAGCAATCTCTGCTTGCAAAGACAAGCGAGGAAATGCACTGATTGCTCTGCTCCTGTGCTGAAACTTCCATGAATTTCAGCCTATTGCTCCTGTGATACAGTGCTTCTCATGAGATTTTAAGCCAGCCCAGGAAGGTCTGTTTGTGCAGTCCCTGTCATCAATACAGAACAGGAACTCACCAGATCCATCAGCACTTTGGTGTTCTTACTCCACAGCCCCACTCCCATCAGTGTTTTTCAAATTATGCTGTAGCTGTTTAGACTCTGCCCTTGCTTCGCAGGTGAACTTTGCTGTCAGGTAGATAGAAATGATTGAGAAGTCCCAGTTATTTTTCAAGCATTGCAGGGTCTTTTTGTCTGTTCATCTGTCGATAGGTACATTTCCTCTCTTGCTAACATGGTGTATTCAGACAGGATGACATTTTTTTCTCTGAAACATTACCCAGCCAAGCGCTGCAATGAATGGTTATATCTTCAGAAGGCTTTGAGATACTGATTGTAGGACTCTTGAAAATCTCCCTGGAAGGAGCAAAGGGTTTGAAATCACCACTGCAATTAAGCAACCAACATTCCGCTCTCCAATTTGAGGTACAAAGGTACATGGAAAAAAAAAAAGCACTGCATCTTGCAACAAGAGCCATTCAGTGATCAGACCTGTCTGAATTTATATGACCTGAATTTATATGCAAATGCATTGAGCTTTGCTCACAAGACAAAGCAGAGCAAAGCAGAGGGTGCAGTACACACAGTGGGCAGAGACAGAACTACAGCTGTGGGATGTGTTGGTCTGGCCACCACAATGAGGTTGGGCGGAAGGCTACAATGCTTTCTAGCAGAGTCCTAATGAAGTGGCTCAGAAGACTTCACTGTGAGCACCAAGCCACGGCACAGATCCCTCCCAACAAGAGGTGCCTGATCTGCCCGTGGGAAATACACTCCCAGTCTCATTTCCTCATTCTGCAAGCCTTGAAAATAACATTCACCATCCCTTCCCTCCCCAGTTCTCTGTTTTCTCCTATCACTAATCTTTGATTGAAGTAGGGTCTGATCTCACTCAAAGTATCGCCTCCTCCAAGCAGCAAGAGGCTCCATTGCCCCCGGAACATTCGTATTACTCTGTACTCAGCAGGAATGAAACTGTGTGACTCTGACCCACCCTTGGGGACTGCAGTGAAAATGAGATGTCTCTCTCATGAGGACCCCCCAGCAAGCACAACTGAAATATCTTTGTGACTGCAGCAGTTCTGTAATGAATGAATTAATTGATTTCACCCTCAGCTGCTTCTTCATCGACCCCACTGCCCCGAGTGCAGAAGGAGCTCCGTTCCAGTTCCAGTCTCCCTCCAAGTCCTGTTCTATTTAAAGGCAGGTGAGGTGGATTCAGGTTGAAATTGGGAATCCCAGCTCTCAGCTCTGGATAGTGGCCAGATGGGTCATGGTGCTGCATGCAAAGCTAGGGGGAAAGGATAGGAACCAGCACCTTCCAGCACCTCCAGGGCATCTTCAGATGGAAAGTGGGGCTGGGAAGACTGGTGCCCTATTGGTGCTTCTGCCTGGATCCACACAGTGCCTGCTTGTGGACACCACAGGGTCTCCAGACAGCCCTGTTCTTTCCTCACTTCTTAATCTGAGTTACCTTCTGAGATAACAGAAGACGATGCCCCACAAATGGGGCAGATTTGCACACCTAACTTGGCACGTGCCCAGACCATGAATACTGAAGCTGAAGTGATCCATCAGCATCTAAAAAGAACGGGTCCTGCTCTCATTTACAGGGAAACAGCTCCTCCTTGAGTCAATGCATCTCAGGGCACTTCGTGCAGGCTCCCAGGCTGGGATAGGCAAGCAATTAAATAGCTAAGGAAAAAGCCTGTGGGACTGGGGTCACCGCTGAGGTATCACAAATAATCACCATAGAGATTATTCCCATACCCTGAAGGACTCATACAGAGTATAAGGAACAAAAGCTTCTGTGTGGGGTGTTCCAGGAATTACATTCTCATAAATTTTAACCACAGGTCCAAATTCTGTGCCTTTGAGCAAGTAGCGTGGCTTCTGCCTTCCTCAGTTTCCCTAAAGTGTTCTTCAGCTCAAAGCAAGTTCCCTACTCCTGGCTAAAATACATATTTTCAAGTATTCCTCCTCTTCCAGAGGACATTTATCTATTTGAAATAATGGTATAATAAAAGCAAGGAATAGAATGTTTTACATTATTTTCTCAAGGGAAAGCTTTGAACACCTGAAGATTCAAAATGCTGTTCCACCTTTATTGAGGGGTTTAAGATCCTTTATCTTGATTAGCGGGAACAGACGTTTTGTGGAGTTTCATATGTTGTGGAAGTTGAAATATTTTATCTCAATTTGGAGATAAAATCAGATGATAAAATACAGGAGCAGGACACAGGAGGAAGGAGCTTTGATTGAAGCAGCTGTTCCACAGTGTAAAGACAGAAGGCAGAAGATATTAGACTACTTTTGGATCACCCAAGAAAAGCAGCAATCACATCCTGGTAACAAAGAAGGAACCACTTACCCCTTTCTGAAGATCAAACCTCATCGAGCACTCCAAAGAAGGCATTCTCCAAATAGAGATGCTACTCTTACAGCTGCCAGCCCTGAAATGAGGTTGGGGAAGGGTGCACCTTGGGTCCTCCCCTTCCAATGGGTGAATTGCTCCCACCTGTGCTCCCAGGGCTGGCTACATCCCTTCACCAGGTGTTCAATCACTGCTTCAGGCTCTGACCTAATGATTCTTATACACACATGCAGCTGTATTCTAGGCACAGAACAGGGATCAAGCCCAAGACATCAGGTGTCAATTGTTGAGAGAGAGATGGATGAGCCTTCCATTGCAATGAAGCTTCCAATACCTTTGGACAATTGATTGCTACATCTCAGAGCTGGGCTTTCCACACTCACATTTTGCCCTTGTCCTATTCCTGCTCTAAGCTACATGGATGGGTTATAGTGGAAGGAGCCCCACTGTAGCTCCTGCAGATGAAGAAAGTTTTGCTCCCATGTACAGCAGGAAGTATGAAAACAGTAGGTGGGATTTCCTTGAGAAGGAGCGAAAGCAGATGCCAGAACCACCGCTAGCCTACAAACAGCCCCTCTGAAACGTGCTTCCTGATCCCATTCCAGCTATGCCATCCTCAGAAGGGCATGAGTTCAGCCTCTTGAGCAGAACCAGCAGTAAAGGCTGCCCTGAGCAGTCTTCACTCCAGCTCAGGAGGAGCACAGTGCTCAGCTGAGCACTGCCAGCCTGCTCTCACTCCTCCTCGCTCCTTTTTCTGCTGTGTTTCACTTTGGTGAAAGAGAATTGTTTTGACTGTATCTTCCTTGTAGACATTAAATACCTTTCAGAGCAAGGGCAGAGTCCCTCGAGCTACAACAGCATGCACAGAGATAACAGTTCAGGCTGCGTTTGCTTCCCTTGTAGCAGGCAGGAAAGGAGAGAAACCCATGTCACAGGGGCGGCTCTCCAGACATCACAACTCAGCACATCTCAGGCTTTCAAGGGAAGAAGCAGATCTTGTGAGCCCCCATACTCACATCTGCACACCTGTGGTAAGAGATGTCCAAAGTGAGGCCAGGAACCAGGCATTTGCTTGAATCATATTTGAGATTCTTCATACGTACTCGCACATTTCCAAGGAAAAATAATGCATCCACAGCATCAAGACAGCACAAAGAGGAGCAGCCTTGGAACAAGAGCAGCTAATGATGTGTAGCAGACAGACAGAGTCAGACAAACAGCAGAGCAGAGCAGCACCATGCACACTGAGCAGGTTCCTGGTAGCTGGTTCATCTCTCCGTGTCACATCTGATGTCTGAATGGACAGAAAACACATGGGTTTGTTTCCAGTGCCACTCCCTGTTAGGTGGGTGACATTTTCAAAGCTCTGGCGAGCAAGGGAGAAAGCAGCCCACAAAATGTTGCAACAGTTCCTGACAAAAGAAGACATGTAAAGGAGGTGAGGGACTGTGGCAGTGCAGGGAAGCTTGTCTCCTTAGTGGGAAGGGTTTGCTTTGCCTCCTGCGTTGAGGCACAGCATGGGATCCGAGCGCTCAGGTGCAGATGGGGCATTGGGATGGCTTGTCCCTTTATCCTGGGGAAAGGAAGCCAGGCTGGCAGCCCTCCTCACTGGCCCCTTCAGTCATCACAAAAGGTTTTTAAGCCTGGAAGGGCACTGGGATGGTTCCCAGTGACATCACTCAGTGCCCATTCTGAATCAGTAGATGTGATGGATGCCATCATTTCTGCTTCAGAGCATCCCAGTCTCCACCTACCGTGCCCACAGCAAGCAGAAGATCCCAGCTGGCTCCTTTCAGGCTTCACCCATTGGCTTCTGGAAGGCACCAGCTCCCAGCCAGCCTCTGGCCTGTTCCCACTGCTTCTTGTTACTGCTGATATGGGAATCTGGGCTAGAAAAAGGCTTTCTAAAGCCAATGATAACAGCATAACCCATGACCAACTCCAAGTAGGAGCCACTCAGATCTGGAGGTCATCTCTTCTGATCCACCAGAAAGCAGAGGGAGTCTGTAATCCAACTGATTCCAGCCATTCCCCTCAGCAAGGTCTGAATGTGACAGATGCAAACAGGACTTTCTGCCGGGTGAGCTAAAAGAGCTGGAAGCAATGACTGCCTGGATTATGGCATACAGCAGCTCTGTGATTTGTACGCAATGAGAAAATTGGACTGGGCTTGCATTCACATCTATAGGTAGCTCAGATTCTTCTGCATCACTCACTTCTGGGAATGGTCAGACAAGATGAGTTTTGCTTGAGCAGCTTATGTTTCCTGAAAGTTTTCTCGATAGAAAATGTGATTCATCAGTTGTAGCTTTTCTGATGAGATAAAAAGTTTACAAACAGAGCTGCTCTCCTAGAAATCTCTTCCCAGCTTGCACTTGTTCTAAAGTCAAAATCAATTCAATGTCCAGCCTAAGCTGCCAGGCACTTTGATTTGGGTAGCTCCCCATTTTTCAATCCCCCAAATGATCTTCATGACAATTTTTTTGGTTTTTTTCTTTTACTTGAAACTAACAGAAAAAAAAAAAAAAGAAGCAGTCTGTGTGTTTTCCATGGACGATGGGAAACCAACAAGGCTTTTTTTCCAGTGGGTCTAAGTAAAATGTCTCTTAATTAACACACAGTAGCAAGGTGAGCGGATATCCCTTGCACACTTTCTCAACATCAGATCCAACCTTGAGGACCATAGATTCTTTTTTCAAGAGTGGAAAAACTTAGCTGCTTTCCTACTCCTATCCCTCTCGTTGCCTCTCTGCCTTTTGGGGTACGGCCAGCACCAGAAGGAGAATGAAATAGAAAAAAGCTACCTTGTGTCTTGCCAGTGCAGCTGGAAGCAGGAAGCAATGGAGATCTCCCAGTGAAGCCTGGCTTTGGAATGCCCCCAGCACACACTGCCAAGGCCTGGGGCTCCAGGGGTTCTGCAAAGAGCTGAACTTCAGGGAAATGCTGCTGAACCTGAAGAGTTCAACTGTGCAAGTAAAGAGGGCCTGATAGGGAGCTGAGGGATGGGGTAAACTTGACTTGAGCAAAACTCAGTGTGGAAGGTGGATATTGCATGTTCCCACAGCATTCACATCAATAAGCATTAATCTCAGACATCTATTTAACTTGAATAACGAATAATTTTAGGGAAGCCATGGTTATATCTCTGTTCTGAGTTTACAGATTCTGAGGAAGGTGAAGATGAACAGAATGCAGAAGGACAATTAGATTGAGCTGCATACCATCGCAGAAACACACTAAATTGCACTCTGATGCATTCTCAATCTAGATATCCACTAACTTTCGAGCCAGACCTGCAACCAACCCAAGAAAACAGACCACTAAGGCTTCAGCAGACTCTTCAGGCTTCAGCTCTGAGCCCTGGCACTGCTGTGGTTCCATGCACCAAGCCACTTGCTGACACAGAGTTCTGGGCAACCACAAACTGAGTGCTGGTGCCGGGTGCACAGTCACAGCACACAAACCCTATAGAGACAGAAGAGGCTGCAGCTAGTTCTATTCCCTGGCACTGTTAGCTAGATCAGGGAGTTAGCAGAAGTTTGGGTTTTGGCATTTGTTGCTGCTGGCAGCTCCCCCTGCATTTCTAATCGCGGTCCATCTGAGTCTTTGCCCAGCCCAGCTCTGAAGCCGCCTCCAGCTTGGCGTCAGCTGGGACTCGAGCACACCGCGATGCAGAGCCCAACGTGTGTCCTGATGGTGTATCTCCTGCCTTGTGTCATCACAGTGATGGCTGCACACGGCCTTACCTCAGGATGACAAACGCAGCCGTGTGTGCAATGCCTCCACAGCCCCATGCGGTCACATCCACCCCTTGCTCAGGACAGCCCAGCAGATGCCTGGCTGCCAGCTGCTGCCCTCCCTGCACTAGGACGCTCGCTTGCAGCCCCTACCTGTGGCCATGGCAACAAACAGAAGGCCTCCTCACCAGGCGCACTCCATCCTATTGATTCCTTGGGAGATTTATGGCAGAGACCTGATCTCAGTGAAGGAGCTAAATCCAATTCACTATGGAATTACAAGCCTGTCCGATCAATAATCTATTTATCTCCTTCACTTTGCCATCTTTAAACACTCCAGTCCTGTCAAAAGAAATTGAAAGCTTTTTAAAAATGAAATTATCGAACTCTGGAATGGCTCTGCTAGGGCTTCTGGAAAGGATCTGGAAACCAGGATGGGACCAGCTCAGGATCCAGCATTTAGGATAGATATGTCACAGCTCCACAACTCAGCATGTGGACAGGGCAGGGGATGCTGGCAGTCAACACAGTGAGAAAGGCTCTTATACCTACATGCAGATATACAGAGCTAAGGGGAAACCGGGGTGTGAAGCATTAACCCCAATGGAAAATGCACTGCTAAGGTCCCTGTGAGTTGTAAACTGCATTTGTTCATGACTTGAGCAGATCATGAAGTTTTATTTAACCAGCACAGGGCTCCTCAGCAGCAGTCACTATATTTCCCTAGGGCAGAGGTGTGTTGCATCCCAGAAATAATGTTATTTTTCAGCTCTCGTGCAGCACTTCTAATTAATAGATGGTAAAGCAGCTCGCATGGAAGAAAACGGAGACATGGAGTGGGAGCAGGGCTAGCTGGTAACAAACCAGCAGCAGGAGCAGAACCTCCACCCCACTAAAGAAGAGCAGCTGCCATCCTTTTTCAATCCTCATGGCTGTTTTTGTCTCCCAGATGCAAGCTTTGACAAACACAGGGGGACTACGGGGTCAATTTCACACACGTGAACTGCTTTTGTAACATTCTTTGTCAAAGGAATATTCACATACACATTTAAGTCTATGTTTCTCCAGTAGGTCATTCCAACTCTTATCTGCAATCCCAGTGGGATTTAGCCACATATTCTGTTGGTCAAAAGACAAGATATTTTCTTGGTTGCACAAAATTGGGGAATCTCAATTACAATTTTTCTGCAAGAACAACTGTGCTGCAAGAGTGATGTGCAGACCTATTGGTTTGGGGAGGTTAAAATCCCACTAGCACCAATGATGTCGCACTGGAGCCTGTGTGGGATTTCAGCCCCATGTATGATTTTGCCTGCAGGATATTTGCCCCCCA